GTTGTCGTCGACGACTTGCACCAACCATCGTGTTTCACCTGGTAAAGAGACCTGTTTCTCACGAAATTACGAGGGAACTTACTATAGCGACTATCTGGGAGGTCAGCGGAAACAGTAAAGGTGAACTCAGTGTTTTTAGGGATATCATCTAATATAGGCGTCCTGTATACATACACACCATCTGATTTCTGAAATAGTCGCTGATTTAAAATAGAGAACTCATCAGAGCCTACCAGTTCCGAGCCGTGCTGTCCTTCAACTTCTACAATTCCACTCAAACTGACGAAGCTGTTGTTGTAGAATACATACCCTGGCGGAGCATACAGCTCAAGAACAGACCCACCATGGAGAAGGTGAGAACCTGCGGATAAGAACAGCCTGTAAGTCACGACGAATCGCGAAGTATTGTGATTATCGATTCTTTATACCCTCGCAAGACTGTTTGTTTCATCAGTGAGCTCCTCGATTAACGTCAGAATGAGCACCGGGCCAGTGTCATCAGCGTTAATGCAATTATTGCTCAAAAGTATTATTATGCTTCCAATTCCATAGACATTCGCAATCAATAGACAACACTCTAACGAGGTTGTCTAGGGAAAAAACTGATGGAAATATTCAAATCTCCGGAATGCTCAATCCTGAATCATTATGAATATTCCTCCAAAATCCTACCACGAAGAAGCGCGTTCGAAACCCAAAATTTGTCCTAGGGTGGTGTTTTTTATACACTGAATCTCAGACGACCTTTTCCCATCCCCCAAAAGTGACCCTCGGGAGTGCTTACTCATCATCGAGAAATATATGGTCGATTCCTTCGCTCCATACACCCTCGGATCAGCTTTGCTCTCACGCGTGTCCACATCTATCCTCACGAGCACCTCGAATCCCTCAGCGTTCAGTTTAGCGTCTTTAATGGTAGTATCCAAATAGGTGGTAATTTCCCAAGAAGAAGGACCAACTTCGTCAGGATTCTTTATGTTCTCGATAACGTACGAAAGCTCAGCCCCGGGAAGCAGCGCGGTAGAAATGGTCACTTCCGAGACACTTTTTTTGATTATCTCATCAGAAGATTGCGTATTCGCGGGAATCCGTAAAACGACGTCATTCATGCCAAAATGGGAGTTTATACGATCGATAATGTGGCCCTTGATCAGGAGTAGGTTAGCAAGGGGTTATTGGAGTTAGCTTGATCTCGATCGTACCTGGGGGGGAAATTCGTCACCGCGCCACAAAATTTAAGCTGGCCCTTACTGTAGCTGTTTGCAGCTCTCACTGGAGGCTCTACCAATGAAATGCTCACATCCTTCAGCTGAGGTATTATTGCGTACCTGTTTGGTGAGTATATTTAAAAATGACACCGCTGGGGTTCGAACCCGCGACCTACCCGTACAGTACGGCGCTAGCACGTACATCCCCCCCATTATATTGGATATGTTTTACATGGTAAGTGTTATCATCTGGAGTAGTCGCTGGGTTCATCGATGATACCGCGAAGCGAATAGGAGTCTGCATAGGGCAGTCTATACACGCTAGCTCAGGGTTGCCAACGAAACTGATGGCCACTACATTATAGCTATCTCTACGGGCATTTCTGACCAACGACAACTGTCACCAAAATTTCCTCAGAACTGTCACCAACACATGTAGTTAACCATGTGCATATTTTCCCACAAACTGATGAAAGGCCAACCCCAGGTCACGATAATAACGCACGTCATTATCAACTGAAACACCCGCGAGCGAAGCCGTCAATTCTCACCGAAGCGAACAAAGCTCCCTCCAGAATAGTCCACGAAATCATATTAGCAGAGCATACAGGAGGACTCCGGTCCAGGGCTGTAGATGGTGATACTCCTTCATGTGATATCAATGCATAATCCCTACACTCTTCCTTGCCTAAGAAGAGCACTGCCGATCAAATAAACATGAATATGAACTCACCTATCTCGCTGAAGCTGAAGCCTCGAGGGGCTAGTAGCACTATCTCGTCACTGGCCACAACGACGTCCGGAAACGACATGAGAAATTCTAAGCGGACTTCGGTGAGGCCGTAATGGGATGACGCAGATAGCATCTTGAAAGAGGTGGTGACGAAGTTCACGCTGAAACCTGAGATACAAAGAAAATTAATTTTGTGGCGCAGTGACGCGGCACTGAACTGTCAAATTCACAAGCCGCGAGGATGCATCGCAACTTTACGATTATTATTCATCAATTGAATAAGTATGCAACACGAGTGAAAAAGTTATTTCACCTTTCACATTTCTCAAAAACGCGTAAAACACGTGATGTACCTCACATGAGATGGAGTCATATTTCGTTCGGTTGTGTAAGTGTTTTCAATTCAGTTCATATCGCGAATATCGCATTTTTCCAATAAAATACCGCGTTACTTCGCCAAGAATAAATCTTAAATATGGAAATAAATACAAAAATTTCACTGGAACAGAAATTTACATTTACAGTGACTCGAGGCCTTGTTGCAGACCACCACGATGCACTAGAAAATACACCCTAGAATGCCTATCCGAATTGCATACCTGGAAACTGCGCATAGTCTAGTGTAGAGGTAGTAACATCAGCCTTCTCATAGGACTGGAATGTCCACGAGTTCACAGGAGATATCGAAGTAGGGTTACTAACCATCACTGTAATTATGTAGATCGCATTAGCGACCATCGATTGGCCAGCCGAGACCTGAGCATAACCCTGATGGAGAGGAAGCAACCTCGGCTAGAAGGCCCAACCCGGTCTTCAACCGAAACCGTGCGAGAGACGACCACCAGCCTCTCGGTACAATACCGAGAAGGAGCGCGCGGTATTTCACATACTACTGTAGGAGGTACAGACTCTTTGTATTGTTACATACATCTAGTAAAGTGTCATTTATAGATAAAAATTGGAACTAGTGAAATTGGAAACAGCTATAATAGAATTACCGATATTTTTAATGGCAATTAAGGTAGAGATGGCAGTAGAAATACTGGGAATAATGAGTAGAGAAAAGCAGTGTTAGAGGAATATATGTTTGCTTTCCTCGGTTGAGTTCAAGAGTTTCCTCACTAACTATAGAGCATAGGGTAGAAGTGTACAGAAACCAACACGAATTTCCCGGGAAATTCGGGAAATTTTCCCGGAATTTTCTCACAATTTCCATATTATAATAATCAACACACGTAGTTGACCATGTATATATTTCCCCACACTGGAGAAAAGTATTATAGCAGCTCCACCGCAAGTTGAATCTACTCAACATTGGGTTCTATTCATGTTCATCGTCATGAGTAACTAACAACAGGTGACCTACCAGTATCTGGCAGTCATTTGACGCTCTGGCTGCCCCTTTACACTCCACTTCGATCGGCACACCAGTGTCTCTCTCACTCACTGTGGCCTCACATTCCGAAGCTATCAGGAAGCCCGTCGGTGCTTCTATCTACAACAACAAAATATTCAATCAAATAACGACTTTGGAGGACTTACTTCGATAAGGCCTCCACCCGGAATAGTGTTGGTAACCCCAAGTTCGATAGTAACCAGATTATAAGTAGGTCGAATGCTGGAGCTAGCGCTAGTGTCACTAGCCGTAATTTTCCCATAGTAGAATGCCCATATCGGGAAACCATCAATCGGCTCTGAGGTTTCATTTCCGTACTCGATGAGCCACTTGTTGCGCTGTGGCGTCGCGTTGGGGTTCCTCAAAATGCCAAGCCGGAATATGTATAATTTGCTTGCGTTAAGCCCCTGCCTGATGTCCATACGAGCCACGTTGTCCTCAGCAGTACAACGCGTAATCTCCCCAAACGGCGGAGCTGGCCATGGTTCGTAAAGCTGGGTGAAGCTATCTGGAAGGGATGTGTCGTCTGTCGACTTGGTGGCATCGAGAACCTGTTATCAATAGAGCAATAACATGACTAGGCATATACGTATAGAGCTCCCCAATGTTGGAGTAGGAATATATGTTCGCTTTCCTCACCCGAGCTCAGGAGTTTCCTATACAGTGTTGGAGTAGGAATATATGTTCCGTTTCCTCAGCTGAGCTCAGGAGTTCCCTCAGTAATAATAGAAGTTTATATACGAATTCGGGTAGAAAGGTTCAGAAATCAACAAAAAAGTTTCCGAAAATTCTTAAATTGTCACCAACACATGTAGTCGACCATGTCCCTGTACGACTGTGATTCCTTCACAGCGGACGCTACTTAATCCTCCCAAAATGGCAAAGATAATTTCACTATCACAAATGAGTGAATAGGCTCAAAATATCATCTAGGGGGCAAAGGTTCCATGTGGGGCGGGAGGGCAAGTCTATGTATGCTGACTATCCCCCGGCTAAACAGCGGTAAGTTATGCGAACCGATAACGTGAATATATTCAATAATTTCGTGGCGCGCGAAGCACTCACCCGAGAAGAATCCGTGACGACTCCGCATTCATAATCAAACTCGAAGCCAATCGGAGCTGTGACGACCAGCTGACCATCGAGGCCAGCGTGCGTTAGAGCGAACCCGAATATGAGCTGATTAGGAAATCCTGAAATAGAATGAACACTGCGCATCCCGCCTGTAGACTGTTGAATGTGCACGGGGAGGAAGCGAAATTCTTAGCGACTTTAAAATTTCACCCCAGAGGGGTGGGGCGCGTTTCCTGGTATATCGTTCGATCAGTCGTTGAGATCAACTTCATGACGCCAACAGAGGTCACTATCGCACTCACCAGGACGGTCATCCCTTCCTGTGAGCCAGTAGCTCAATTCTTCCAAAGTACAAGTGCTCGATACTGGGGCGATGCCACACTCATCCCGGCGGCGTTGCTCCAGTAACCGATAGGCATACATTGGGCCCTTGATGGAGAACCCAGGTGCCTGACTATTGTAGCTGAACCCTGTCTACGTTATAGCCCAGCTATCATCAATTTCAGAGCGACATTCTCATAGCGCACGTTCAAGGGAAGGTTACCTGCGTTGAATAGTCTAAATAGGTCTTTCCGCTGATGAGGGCGTAGCTGTGGAATGTCCACATACCGATGGTATCGCTGACTGTGCTCGGATTCTGGACGGTTAGACAGAACTTGTACATGCCAGCGGCGATGCCGCTAATGCCAGCAGTGATGGTGACCACGGGTATGTCACGAGCAGTCTGATCGATTTCATATCGGCAGTAGCTATCCGTTGGTAAGGACGTAAAGTCGGGGAATGTGATAGCCGTGCACTCCTTCTCGAAAATGAAACCGGTTGGTCCTTCAATGACTAGTCCTCCGCCCCTGAAAAACCAAGAAAAACGATCTCGGTGGGACTCGAACCCACAATCTTTGGTTCCGAAGACCAACGCCTTATCCATTAGGCCACGAGACCATACAAAACTCACCGGGCAATAGGGGTTATAGTCTGTATGCGGAAGCATATCTCGTTATTCGCCCCAACGATGCTCGTGCGATAGGTAATCTCTCCATTGATCAAGGCTTGCACTGGCGGGGCATCTTCCACTCCAGCCTACGTAATGCATTCGTCACGCGCCACATAATTCTTCGCCCGCCCTACTTCAGAACGCCCTGTCAATGTTGTTTCATCGAAGCCGAATTCAATGATGAAAACATTTGAACTTGCAGTTGGAGTATTCCGAGGAACTCTTATCTTAGTCTTGATGCCATACTGATAGCCGGCCACCAGTTCGCTGCTCAAATACGCCACAATGAGCTCATTGAAGGGCTCCACGATCGGCCGACTAGGAATCGTTGTCAACGGCAGATCCCTATCGGCCCCTTCGACAACCTCACTCTCCGCAAGACCAATCTGCGGTGATTTGTATCTGAGCGGAGCGAAGCGATTCATGTTCCAGGGATGATTTTCGATATGGAATGTCACTTGAATTCCTCATTAGTGAACTCCCATTTGTATCCTCCAGGCGCCACAATCCTGAAGTTTTGTTTCGTGTTCTTCTGGACGATTATAGGAAAGATGATTATATCAGTGGGAGAATCCGTCTCCAAAACCGCCGGTTTCAAGTCGACCAAGGTGATACCAAAGTTACTGCGCGGCATTGCTCGTTGGTAAACACCCCAAGACTGGCTATTGCTGCCCGCTGCTTCCTGAGGGTTCATTCTCACATTGTAGAAACTGCGATCACATGGTGAACCAGATTTTGTGCGAGTCGTGATGGTCCATCTACCACCATGCTCATACTCAGCGGCATTCCGAACTTGCAGACCGAACGCGTAGAACTGTCCTCCCAATATACGGCTGGTAGTAGCGACCCGAGCAACGTTATATAGGGTGCTCGATGCAGCCAAAGTTAAAGTCGCTGCGCCACGACAATCAATATTCGTGCCAACCGGTAATCTCTTCGTGGGAATCGCCGGTTCGGGTACAAAATAGCCGTCGTCAAGCGTAAGGAGCGAACAATAGTTTGAAAAGTCAAAACCCGCAGGTGCTTCAACCCACACTTGTGCAGCACCATCATCAGCGCTACCGCACTCTTGTTCCGTCTTGAAAAAGATCTGCAGTTCATTCCAAGCCTCTACAGCGAAATTGGTGGGAATAATGACTTCGTCCGACAGCTTTCCAAGAACCGCCACATTAGAACTGAAATGCTCAGGATTGGCGACAGGCGCGAAGGACGCTGTCGTCGTCGTGGGTTGCGACAAAGTGAACATCAAAGCTGCCTTATCATAACTCGGCCCGCTGTCTTTCTGATTCACTTCAAATGTCCACACATTGGTACTATCGGACTAAATAACCCAACGATTATCGATGAAAACTCCCGGGAATTAACTCACCTGTTGTAGCGCTGTAGAGGGATTGTCCACAGTGATGCCGACGAACACCACAGTGTTGCCATACATCACCATACCCTCCCGGAATGTGAGTCGACATGTGGCCGGAACGTACCCAGGTTGGCTTATCACGCCTGAAAGAGAAAATAGTTGTACTCTTATAGTGTCTGTAGTAGACTTATTGCAGACAGGCCATAGCATTCTCAGGTCAAATTCTTATTTTACCAACAAGTTTAATTTTTTTACCATTTTTCGGTAATATTGGAGTTTCACGCGTGATATGAAAAACACTAGTTAAAAATATATTTCACGACTACTGCGTAGCGCGAATATCGCGTTTTTCACCATGTACTACGCCACTTCACGTCAAACGGGTGAAACTACATTTTACCCGTGGTTGTAGTAGTAGAATACTAAGAAGATTCATATGTCTTGCTAAATACTACCCGGAAAATGTTATACCCAGTTAATTCGAAATTTCGGGAGTTTATTTTAACCAAGGACGTGCGCAATAACAATGCGCGCGGGTTTGTCAAAACCATGGGTAAAAAAGTTAACGGAAAAGTTAAAAAATCAACCAAGCGAGTAAAAAATTCAACTTGTCACTGGAATAGTAATTTGACCTGGAAATGCGGCAGTGCTCACTAACGCTGGTTCCGTGATACTCGATCACACTATTCAACTGTGGTACACGGCGAATCATAATAATACAAAATAACATTACACAACCTCCCAGCATAGGTACTAACACATGAGCGTCACGCGCCACGAAATTCCCTACCCAGAGCGTCCGTGCTGTTCCACTCAGCCTCGTTGACCAAGTCCGCTACTGCTTGTCCCAACTGCCCACGGCTCGAGGGCACCAGATATTCACCCGTCTCGGCGTCTTTGAAAACCGACAAAGTGTCCGGAACAAAATTATCGGCAATACACGATGAAGTGCATGCACTACCAGTTTGGGCACATTTGTACCTGCTACGATAATAGCGCGCGCCCGAGTGATCGATTTGGGTTACTCACCCTGGTGGTAGGAAGAAAGTCATCTGCGCATCTCCGCTTGTTGCAGCATAGACGTTAAATCCCGTGACGATCCGAAAATATAATTCGTTTTTCAAGTCGCCTTTGAATGGCTTCTCATTGCCGTCTCCAGTCCGACTCACCATGCTCGCCGATGCCACTGTCGTTTGCACCCATAATTTTGATGACCCAGTGGCTACCACCGAACCCCAGTAACTGAGAGAGAAAAAAAACATAATTTAGCGGAGCGAAGCTGCATTAATTGACCATTTCATCAGGGGAAGAAGAAGCGATTAATATAATTTACAACAATGAACTTCTATGAGGGTGAGGCGCCAGAAAATCATCAAAAACGATTTTTTTTTCACATTTCATTACGATGCGAAATCCGATGCAAACTACCATCACATGATCTTCCACGCATCTACTAACTTCACCAAAATTCATCAATCGTCATTTTTTCGGGAAAAATTTTTTTTTGAAATTTCGGGAAAAATCACACTCGAATCGAGTGACTCGATCCACACAGCTAAAAAATGCCGTTTCCAAAATTTTTCATGGGAAAATTTCTTCCGAGTCAAAATAATATCCACTAGCATCAGTGAAATACCATAAAGAATAGTTCCCCACAAACCCCCTTTTCTGCATAGTTTTCGCTGTTGTCAAAGTCACGACCAAGTAACGCCATCCCAACTCACTGCGGGCCAGCATCCTCCTCCCGTAAGAGCTCAGCCGTAATCGCCTCTGGAAAGAAGCCATTCTCAGGCAGCCTGAGGTTGCCTATATTGATGGTATGCTGAATGACATCAGTGATTGTTGTCAATGTTGACGGCATCGTCAATTTGATAACCTGACCAAGGCAGCAACGATATCACCTATTTCCGCTTTGGTCATTCAAACTAGGCCTTCGTGACGAAGGGGTGGAGCTCACTGAGTCCACGTCTATGGACTCAATCAAAGAATTCGACATAGGTCCCCGGTTCGATCCCCGGGTAGGACATTTCTCCATCATCAAAGTTTTTCGTGCATATCTCTCCGAGCTGTTCGCATAATCGAGTTTTCTGATTTTTCGCAACACCTCCGCATATAGAGGAGTCGTTTGACCTATCTGATAGCCTCCACGCTTCGTAGTTAAGCCAGAATAACTCTGCAGGCACGCACAACGCGAAAGTGCCTGTTGTTGCGGTATGTGCTCCGCTCGCTCCGCAATTTTCCCGTAAAATATACAGCTATGAATCTAAACCACGCCACGGGTAGCACTTTACGGTGATGACACTCGAAATAGATAACATCATAATCTTGTACAACTGACTTTGCTGAGTTGAAATGAAGTCACAAAATTAGAGTTTTTCCTCGCTGGATTATTCTATATGCCAAACCTAGAGTCAATTCGTATAGTAGACGAAGTCAACAGCAGCAGTCTTGGTTCTCAGATGTTGTATCCATAACGTTGCGGAGTGCTCGTCGATAAACGCATACTATCACAACTTGTAATGATATCAATCACAATACCCACTCATTCACACGGGGCGACCCGCGCCAGTAGTAAGTCGGGAGGCATATGCTCGCTGATAAATTCGACTATATTATAGAAACAACTAAACAAAGGTATTCTATATTTAATGCCACACATACCGTAGTGTGGGAACGCTTCTCAAGATAGCACTGATAATTTCTTCGCGCTGCGCAAGATACTCCAGCGAAAGTCGAAAACATGGTATCAAACTTGACGAGTATCTGTCTGCTGCAACTCTCAAAATTTTGGAGAATTTTGAATTTCGCAATCGTGAACGCGAAAATTACTCTCGAATTTCCCAAATTTCTGTGAATCATCACCACACACGACAGTTTCTAATTTCGTGGCGCGTGACAAAAACTCTCACATTAACATGTTCCTCTGAGCCAACCACTGATTCAGCTTCAACAGTGACGTTCCCACACACAGCGCCTTGGAGGGGAGTACACGTAGCCACCACATCATGCTGAATATTCCAACTCAGTAGCGGATGCAAATACACTGAAATGCGTTGAGGAAATGCAAGATTGCAAGATTCGCTCCCCCTCACGTCTTATAATGCTTCCCGAGCTGATCGGCCCGCCAGACTCCGCCCGCAGTTTGACGCTGAAGGCCGGGACATTCGCGAGGTTGTTTGAAGCACAGGACGCTACTATTGGGGTGACACACCATATGCGAGTAACTGAAATTTGAGGAAATGCAAGTGGACGCAAGATTGCAAGATTGGCATATGACTATTGGCGACTATGCGAAAGTGATTATGTCGATTTTGATATACAGCACGGGAGTATCCACGATAATGTATGATCAGGAAACTATAAACGGTTTTCTGCTAAATAGTGAAATTAATGTCGATAGGTTTCCCGAAAATTATGTAAAAAATAACAGTTTTAATTCTCCTACAACGCTTACTTCCGAATTGAATGTTGCGTTACTACTATAAACATTTCAACGCAGTGTGCCTACTTATTGCAGTAAGGAGAAATGTACAAGTAACAAGAACAACGGTTGTTCTTGTTCACATCCACGGGGTTGTTGAATCAACAACCCCGTGTATGTGCCAGTTTAAAGATCAACCCCAGGTGTTTTGAACTGTTCACCCCCGTGCTAACTCCCTAAAAGCAATGCTTACCATCACTATTCCCACAATCTTCCTCAGTTCGACAGGGTTGACATTTTCTATTCGAGTCCGGCGTACTGTCAGTGGAATCATCATCAATACAGTACGAAGTGAGCTCCAACAACTGCTCAGTGCCACCAGTGACAACGAGCCCATCACTAGAGTGGAACGTGGGATTCCCAGCAACCCGACTGTTCGCCCCAGTAGCCATGCTCCTGCTGGCCACGGCCTTGCCGAGCTCAATAACATTCAGAGGGCGTTCAACAACATCGTCCATAATCCACACTTGAACCGCCGCATTCAGAGGTTGCGTTTTCGTAAGCGTTTCTCGAGCAATAGCGTGCATCACTATTTTATACCTGCACATGAATTCTTCGCCCTATGGGAATTCTGAGTAAATTTTCGGGAATTCCTGCAAATTTCTGCCCGAATTCACGCGTAAATTTGTATAGTTAGCGAGGGAACTCCCCAGCTGAGGAGAGTCCACACAAAGTCCAACACGCCTATGCTCACCTGGTTGCTGCCTTTAAGCCGTTCCTCTTCTGAAAGACTATATAAAATTCTGTCTTTGTTACACTCGGATCAACACTGTCCTCTTTTGAATAACATCCTTGTGGCATTGGAAATCCGTTCGCGTCCGATGACCACACTTCTTTCAAATATTTACCGCAAACATTCTGCTTCGCTTCGCTAAGCTCGTCAAAATTACTGTCAATTACAACCGGCCCATCATGAATCGTTCTGGCCTCCAAATAAGAAGGATCAGTAAAAACTATTTTCATTTGCATCGCGTTTTCAATTTCCGCGTATTTTTCGCTGATTCCCGTCGTAAATGATATAATTATCGGTTGAGACACGTCCGGTTCGATCGTAAGTAGCGATAAACTCGCAAGCATTGACGGAGCTTCTGTTATCACCAACGTCCCCGCTTCGGCCACAAAATCTGTCTCCGCAGAGTTCGCGCTTTCACTCCAACAAACTTTATATTCTCCCGTCGATAGTGACATTATATCTGTGTATTCCTGTTCGGAATTTCTCACCCAAGTTACTGCTGGCGTGCTTCCAACCTGATACGTTATAATCAATTACTTGTCTTTTGAATTGCGTATTCCGAAGATTCTCGATACACCGTAGGTTGAGGGAAAACGTTAATAGTATAAGAATATCTTCTCGGTACCATTTTTCACACTGTGAATGATCAGGACAATACTTCTAATTATTCAATGACACATACCACATCATTGACAACTCAGTGAGGCGTGCTCTGTTACGACCATTGTATATGAATCATATACAGGCTGATTGGTCGTATTCGTTGTTGAGTAATGTGACCATATAACATGATCACATCACTCAAGTCAAAGTAGCGGTCAGTATTCCTACGACACTCCACGAGATACTTACCATATCGAATGCAGGGTATGAGTCTTCCGAGAAGCTCAGAGGAATTCGTATCGAATAATCATCAATATAGGCGACTTCATGAGACGTGTTTATCATGTCCTCCTCCTCCAGCTTCCCTACAAATACCCAATACCATCACTTGTTAAAATACGTGGCGATTTTTTCTCATCAGTAGTTTGATCCGCGACACACTTAAACAATATAATATGGCTAGGAGGGTCTATATACAAAATTTCAGCTCCGTTTCAAGCCGTGACACGAAACGGACTCTTCGGATGGCGCGTACTGTGGCAGCTGTTCAACAACCATATTTCGTCGATCCACAAACAGCAATCCACCCCGTTGTAGACGATTCGGAGTATCAGGTATACAAAACTGTTGTAAAACCTCAAAAATCATCGAATGATATTCCCCACCCTCTGGAACTTCACATTCAAAACTAAACTAACTTTGAATTTCACAATGCGCCCTTAGTTGTCACCGTAAATTCCAACAAAATGCCGTCTACAACACGAGTCATTTCGAGGAATTCGGAGTGGGCGAATAATTTTTTCCTCACAACTAAACGAGTTCAAATTCATTTCGTTTTCCATCAAAGTTATCACACTTGTTCATCCCTAAATGCTGATTATGGAAGAGGGCTATCTTTTCCCCAGTTCAGAATGAAAAGTAGACTTGGAAATTTTCATTTCTTTGCTTTCAAAGAAATGAAAAATACCAATACTCAGTACAGTGTGGGTGAAATATGCACATGATCAACTACATGTGTCAGTGATAATATGAAACCCTGAGAAATATTGGGAGTTTTTTGTTGGTTTCGGAACACTTCTAGCCTTATTCGTATACGAAGTCCTATTTTTAGTGACTTATTCTCTTATTTCAGCTGAGGAAAGCGAAAATCACTGACTCAGTTTCCTCAACCGCGCCCCGATGAAAACAGTAATTTCACTCAGACGCTCCAGAGAGGACCATACAATACTCACTGCTAGCGCTTTTTCCGACGGTCGTCTCCACAACGTTATCGATTTGAATATAGTCACCATCTTTCAAGCCGTGTGCTACCGGTGTCACATTCGTACCAAATGTTATAATGGAACCCGAAGAACTGAAAACAGAAAAGAATATCATCGCAGCTTATACCTGCCATACAACCAAAAAGAATTTCCCAAAATTTTCTCAAAATTTTCATATTGTCACGAACTGATATTGTCACACTGCACAAAGAAAACCAAATATTTTCGTGTTTACCTTGGATCAGCTGGTACAATCGTCATCATATTGCCTATGCCCGATAGCAACGCTCCGCTATTAACGGGACCTTTCACATCCGTACTTTGAGTGGAGTTCACTACACCACAGTCTTTAAAGTGATCGATAATAAGGATACGGTTGCCACTAGACAGGCCCCATCCATGTATCGTTAACCTGAAAAATGCACCCTGTGGGATTCGAACCCGCGACCTTTCCCACTTGAACGTTAATGCTTCGGCAAACACCCACGCTTCCGAACCCTTTGGACCGCGGACCAGCAATCGGCCCACCACCGCCCAACTGTCTTGCTCATTGCAGACCTTGTCGCAGTAACATACCGCCACCCATCCACTTTTCAAAAATTGCATCGCTCCGCCGCCATAAAGTTGATAATTGCTTCCGCTCACTGGAGAGTCGCAATCAGTCAAAGAAGAGCACGAGTGGCCCGACACCATAAGCGCCGACTGGTCATTATCAATACACGCTTGCTTATTGATAAGGCCATAGTTGTCCTGAAGAAATATCCGTTGAGGAAATGCAAGATTGCAAGATTTCACATTGATGTCAAAATCACATGTTCAACTTCGAAACTTAGAATCCACTTTGGAATAGATTTTCACTTGTGAATTTTCTGAATCAG